GCATCTAATTAAGCAAGGCCTTCTTATACCGCTCATGCATGTGAGAGCCGTAAGGAAGGCCAATCAGGGTTTTATCAAAATTCCTGTAAGATATATCAAAATACAATGGGGTGCGCAAGAGGAATGCGGAACTTATTCTTCCATGTTCCACGGTCCCGCACGCTCCATGCTCGTTACAAGTCACTCCAACTCCGCCGGCCGCCTCGCTCGTCAACGTTGTTCCTACTCGGTCAGCGAAGTGCACCAAAAATAGAGATGCAATGTGTACAAAAGCATGAGAATGTCTTCAGCTTACGACAGAGACCAGACACACACCAAATATTGATGTGTCTTGCTACCATATTCCCTTGGGCTTTGTACTCAGTGGCTGTGCGAAGTGACTCTAAAAATAGGCATGCGGTACATACATACGCGGAAAACTTGATATTCTATTGATTTTCTTCTCTGATTCGTTCACATCAGATTGCAGGCTCCACGCGCCCTAAAGGACGATGGCTTAAACAACAGAAGCAACAGTATCTGAGAACTCCTCTCCTGAATTCAGGGCTCAGGAATGCGCAGATAACCGGGTTTATAGAAGAGCTAGATATCTGCATAATTATACACAAAAGATAAACTATGTAAGAATATTCAATCGATGAATTTTCAAATACTCTAAACACCTCCTGTAATTGCAATACTAAAATTGGCGCCGAGCAGAACGCAAAAGCTAGTACAGCAGCGACCATCAAACGAGTAGATTTCATTTTGTTCTTGGCAACTGCCTTGTGCATTGTTCTATTTTTGCTTCTGTTCCTTAAACTTACAGCTATCTTTGCGTACGCGAAAAATATGTACAACAAAGGAACAAAAAAACTCCAGGACAAAGTAGAAGGTTCTTAAGAGCTGATCTTGCCAGTCAGTAGGTAGTGTACAGTGGCTATACTCTTCACAACTTTCGGTGTCATTGTTTTGTTTGGAGCGAATTACAGCAGAGAGGCTCTTGATAATGTAAAAAAGCGGGTGAGACGTTATAGAGGCGTAACACCAAATCGAGAAAACCAAAAGTAGATATGTCTTCAGTTCTCTTGGTGCCAAGCTTTGAAAAGGCCGTAGTACGTTTCTGTGTCGGTCCCAGGCAATAGCAGCTAAACTGCTAAAAATGGCCGCCGCTGAGGTATAACCAACGAGTACCGAGGCTTTGCACGAAGCGGATCATTGGAAAAAAAAGTAACCGGACCATTTGTAACATCGGAATGACGAAGTGAAACAACAGATGAGTGATGGACAAATGGCAAATCAAAAAGTTTGAAATATTTCGTCGCGCCTTACCACTTCGAAGCATGACGAAAACAACTACAAAGTTTAAAATTGCACCAGAAGAAAGCAACACGTAGTAGATGATGAACGGCCACTAGTGTAGCTTGCACGTTTTAGTTGCCCTTGTGAAGAATTACGGGGAACGGTTTGCTAACATTTGCTTCATTTCTTCCTGAAAGATCGTTAATCTTTGAACTCTATACCGTTGTCTTTCATCCCGGACAGTTTATTACTTCTTAGGTTTTTTAATCATGATAGTGTAGCAAGCAGGACGAGAGTGAATGGGACTAGCCCAGGTGATTATTATGGGATTAAAAATACATCCAAGTACAGTGCATCCAAGAGTTGTTGTTGTGGAGAGCCTGAAGAACACAAAGACACATACATAATTGACAAAACAGCATCCTATGCTTTACCCTTACTTTTTATTCGCCGACTGTGCAACACGTGATCTGCGATGTACTGCCTACGAATAATGGACTATTAAGCTCATGCGTAGTAGGATCATCGCCCCACTGTCAAAAATGGTTGGATGACCCAGAAACTTTCAGAGAGTGATTCCTAAAAATAACCGAAAGTAATCAGCCTACCTATCTGAATGTAAGTGAATTTGCTCTATGCAAGAAGTGTCAAATTTGAGCTAACCTTAGACGGCCGATAAGTCTCCCCAGCCTGTAATTTCACTCAAAATTTTGAGTCTGAAAAGAGACTGCGCACAAAGCCCGGAGAATTTTACTTGGAATTATGTTTACTGTGCAGTTCTCTGTTACAGGGCTTCGTTCGTTTTTCTAAAGAAGGAGGAGCCCAGCGAGCCATTGACGCTCTAAAGGAAGCAAACGACGGTAAAATACTCATCAGGGATGTGGAGACAACTCTACGGGTGCTAGAGGGTACGATTTTGTTTGTTTGATCGCGGGCTCGGGTTCAAACTCTCGACCTACCGCATATTTGAAGCTCTACTAGGGCTAACCAAAATGCGCCGACAACGCTGTTAAATTCTCTTTATGATTCCTTTCCCTACCCTAAACTTGCAGATAAATTCTTTACTCAAGTATATCTGTATAATTATTTGCTTTTGAAGGTGAGGAAGAAAAGAATTACTGGTTAAAAGCTAAAGAAGACAGAGAAACAGCCAAGCAAAAGNTGACAAAACATGGAATGAAGTTGATTTACTGAGTTGAGTTACGTTTGATACTGCACACGCCGGATTTTTTATTGTCTCAGCGGCAGCCACATTTTGAAGGTATTGCGTTGAACCAATATTCTGTTTGGACTGTTCCATTACTTACCCTGGTAACCCAAAGTCCCGTATATTCCTCAGGAACACAACAAGGCGTCTTAAACTTTCTCTTCTTATCGGCAGAGAGCGGAACATTAGACAAACTAGCCATCTCACGTAACAGCAGGCCATAAATGTTATTATTTCCTTCAGCTTTTAAGTGTATTAAAAAAGCTGATGGGGTGCATGCTCCGTAACAGAAGGCAAATGTGACCGGTAGTCTTGGTGCTACTATGATGCGGCTCAGATTCAAGTTGCCCCATGTTTCACGAAAGGTGTGTAGCTTGCATTTTGAATGGCTGGGTAGATGGCCTGATTCTAGAGAAAGATAATTTCATAGTAACGCCTAAAGAAGTTTGTGGGTGAGTCGGTGTGTGCGAGCATGCATGTCTTTACGTGTGTTTTTAAAGAGACGAAAGAAACATATATCCTCGCTAGAGATTACAGGACAGTATTGAAACACACTCTTTGTTGATGCAACAGTTACTCTTCGGTCAAACGTGTACACTACACGGCCGCGCAGATGATCAATGAGCTTAATAGTAAGACAAGAAGTGATTAAGACTTGAATAACATACAGAAACGTTCACCTTTACCTTTGTTTGGACTCTGTTCTTCTTTGGGCCTTTTCATCGTTCCATCCTCACAAAGAGCGATGAAGACTATTGTTGACAAGATCAAGGCATACGAAAACTTCCTCAACATGTTTCAAGTGGTGAACACTTTAGCAATTTTGGTCGATGCGCGAGCAAGCATATGGGTAGGATCAAACTGTTTTCAAATGCAAGATTACACACCGCACTATAAAAGGCTAGTGCGTTTAATGCGACTTGTCGTTTGGAATGTGTTTTTTCTTTTTTTTTATTGATGCTATCGACCTAAGATGGTTAAATTGTTGGCCTGGGATCAATTCAGATTTAGAAGGTCAATTTGTCTAGTGTCGTAAACATCAGTGAAGAGGGAAGTTAACTTTAAGTTTAGTCTTCAAATGAAGAGCAGGCGAGGAAGAGGGAAAATGTGTATCCCCCCACGCGGCCGAATAATATTAATGAGGCTCGAACTTTTGATTTCGCGGTGTGATGGTTTGTCATCGAACCAAAGGATGTGCAATGGTTACCTACAACTAA